AAACTAACATTGATGAATGCAACTGAAACAGTAAAGCATTACATGGTCTGTTCATGACTATATCTGTTGAAGAATTTAGGTGAGCGTCGATGTGTGAAACTGTTAAAGAAGTTTGGGATATTCTAACAACCACACACGAGGGTACCAAAACTGTTAAGAATTCTAAGCTGCAGATGTTAACCACTAAGTTTGAAGAGATTAGAATGAAGGACGATGAATCGTTTGATGAATTCTATGCGAAATTGAATGATATAGTTAACTCTATCTTTAATTTAGATGAAAGGATCCCCGAGACCAAAATCGTTAGAAAAGTTCTTAGATCGTTGTCCGAAAACTTTAGACCTAAGGTTATTACAATAGAAGAGAGCAAGAACTTAGATACCGTTAAAATTGAAGAACTCGTAGGATCACTTCAAACTTATGACCTCACTGTTTCCCAACTTAAAAGGGTTAAATCCATTATCATGAACACCATTAGAAAAGAGGAGAGCGAGTACACTGATACTGAGACCCTTAAGGATGACAAAATTCCTTATTTCATTAAAAAATTTCAGAAGGTGATGAGGAATGGGAGAAACCCTCAAGAATGAAAAACTGGATTTCCTAGAAAATTCATAGAAGATAATCGTGAAGATAACGACTCTAAAACTGCTAATAAGAAAACTCAATCTGCTAGATGCCATGAGTGTCAGGGCTATGGTCACTATAGGAATGAATATCCTAACTTGAAAATGAGTTCTAATATTGGCATATGTAAGACTTTAGCTGTGACATTAAGTGATGATGAATCAAATTCTAGTGCTCGAAGTGATACATTTGGTGAAGAAGATAATCAAAGGCTCATGGCATTTGCATCTATAGCTACTACAGAGTCTGATAAAGAAATTTAGATGGTTTGGGTTAAGAAGATTGATGTATCTAGGTCAAATGATTAGTGAACTATTATGTTGCCCACGTCGCACTTAAGGCCCAAAATGTCTCTATGTGATACATTGATAGTGCTTGTTCTAGACATATGTGTGGAGACAAAGCCTTGTTTTCTTCTCTAAATGAGTGGAATGACGGTGTAGTTACTTTTGGAGATAGAGCTATTGCACCGATCCAAGGAAAATGTATTGTTAAAATTGCTGGATTACTTAACATAACTGATGTGCTTTATGTCAAAAGGGTTAAATTCAAATATGTTGAACATCAGCCAAATTTGTGATGCTGATTTTGAGGTTAGCTTTGTTACGGAGTTTTACCAAATCCAGCTTTGTAGTAGTGCCAAGATCAACATTATTGAGTTATCGTCTGGATCATATGAACCATAACAAGGTTGCCTAAGCTTGCCAAGAAGGAAATAATCAATGGCCTACCTAAGCTAGAAAATACTGATACTACTGTTTGTGGTCCGTGTCAACAAGGTAAACAGATTAGAGTGTCTCACAAACAAACTTCTAAGATCTTGATAAGCAAGCCGTCTGAACTACTCTATATGGATTTAATGGGACTATCTAGTACTGAAAGTCTTGGTGGTAAAGATATATTCTAGTTGTGGTTGATGATTTTTCTCGATATACGTGGATTGAACTACTGAGGGATAAAACTGAAGTGTTCGGTCTTATCATCTCATTGTGCAAGAGACTTAGAAATGAGAAAGGATATTCTGTTTCCAGAATTTGCAGTGATCATGGAAAAGAGTTTGAAAAATCAAATCTTGAAAACTTCTGTTTGGAAAAAGGAATCCAACATAAGTTCTCATCACCGATCATTCCACAACAGAATGTGGTAGTTGAAAGGAAAAATCGTGTGCTTCAAGAAATGGCATTTCTAGAGGGATGGTAAGGATCTTGCCATGCATTT